ATTATGGAGTGTAATTTATTTTCAACTCAAAACATCTTCAAACTAACTATAAAGTTATTAGGGAGGAAAACCCGTCTGGATAACAGCAGACTGACTGCTGGTAAAATATACGACAGGTCTGGACCACTCCTGAATTTTGTTCGTATCTGAAAAAAAATCTTAGAATATGAAAACATTGGTGAATGCCACAAATTCTCCTAAATCACTCGTACGCTCAACTTAAGAACAAATCTGTGTACGAACGGTTCTTGCATGAGGCCCAATGATTTTAAACTTGTGGTGACAAGATTTACCAAGAATGCAGAAACACGTTGGAATAAATGCACAGAAAGTCTGCGTGTATGGTCGTCAAATTATTTAATTTGAGCAACAACAGAGCAGAAGTCAATCAGAGAAGTCTGTCAAGTTGTGGCTGCCGCCTCAGCACAGAGCAGCTGATAATACAACATCCTGCAACACGTTTACAACCAATCACAGTTCGACAACTGTAACCACCTAACCAATAACAGGGCTCTCAGCCCAGGAACTACCTTATCAAAATAAGAGAGGATTGCTGGAGTCTTGAAGTCCAGGGCAACAGATTAAAACAGCCGAAACTAGTTATCATAAGATACGAGTACTGGACAGCGTCAAGGTAAAACAGATATAAATAATTAGTCCATAACAACCTCATTATCTTCCCTCCACTTCAAATCAAGCTGCTCCAAACAAACAACTGAAGCTTTAAATAACAAAAGCAGAATTTCAAATCAAACAGCAAAAACATAAAACAAGTCACAAACCCTAAAAGTATAAAGACGACAGCGTTAAAATCAGAAACATATTTCAGGACATGAGCATCCCTGTAAAACAGCTCCTGTTGGAACAGGAAGTGATGACATCAGACAGAATCTCTGATTTTGGACCTCCACTTRGGGGCTCTCTCAAAGCCGTTCTGGCCCCTCCTGTAGTCCAGCATGGCCTGCTGGATCTCCTCCTCGGTGCTCATCACAAACGGGCCTGAGGACCAACAGGAAACAGTTTGGAACAAACGAAGGACGGATGGTGTGAAACAACAAACTCTTGTTTTTAACATCTAAAACGTACCGTGTTGGACCACYGGCTCGTTGATCGGTTCTCCTGCGATCAGGACGAAATGAGAAACTTCAGAACCCTGAAGAACAAAAGACCGACCCGTTATCTTCATCAGAACAGAGGCCATGCAGAGCCGGGCTGAACCGGARCGACATGAAGGAACGGTTGAACGTTTTGTTGGGATTATTTTAATTTAAAGTGGATTATAGGACACACGGTTCTCTCTGGTTTAATGTTTGTTCTGACTGGTTTTGGACCCAGCAGTCGCTGTCAGCAGGAACCTTCTCACCTTGTTTTCAAAGCGAACACAGTCTCCGTCTCCAAACACCACGGTGTGATGAGGCTCCACCTGCTGCTCCTCAGGACCTTCAAATAAAACGAGGATCTGTCATTTCCCTCTGGGATCAATCACGTATCAATCACTCAAATCAAACTAATTCAGATTCTTCTCTCAGCAGAACTGCGTGTTTTCTATCAAACAAACACTTTCTGACTGCAGACAGGTTCTCAGTTTGACCTGAACCGGACCTGAAAAAGGAACACGTGGACTTTTTGGCTGAAAGCAGTGATTTAAGCTGTGATTGGCTGAAGATCAAACAGCAGGGAGGAGTCAAACCGTCCACCAGAAGAGAAGAAGAACTGAAGGATCTGTTSAAACTCACCAACATGGACGCTTCCAGAGAGAGTGTAGATGAACGCCGTCCATCCTGTCGGACAGATAAAAGAGCTTCACATCAGCTGGAACCAGTTRATAGAAGCTGCCATGTTGGATTTCTGGGACCAGTCTGTGCACTTTAAGCCCCGCCCACTCCCTCACACAGTAACTGCTCGTTGTTTGAATGTGTTAAAACAGGGGGGTCGAACTCACTGAGGGCCACGTTGATTAAAGTGGCCCTCCAAGGGCCAGTTATAATTAACTTTGAACATGAAACTTCACGTTCCTGAGCACCACTATCAAACACTGAGCTCTACCTGGTGTTTCCTGCACAGAAACAGTGTTTAACATAACCTCTTATAAACACTGAACAGTTCTACAAGTACAACTGATTATATGTGAAATTAATAAAAACAGAAATACTAATAAAAGTAAAAGTAAGAGTTTTACTCACTTGAATTCTGAACTTTCCCACTTTCCTACTGGGAATTCCCATTATAAGATGTAGTTTATGGTCACAGTTAAAGCTTACAGGTCAGAGGCAGGACAAGTGTTATTATCCTTCACCTGTTAAAGTTCAGTATTTTGTTGAATGAATCATAAATTGAAAGTTTACCATTGATATATAAACTGTTTTCATATTAAATTAGATTAAAAATATATATTTTAGTGGGCCGGACAAGTCACCCTGCAGGCCACATTTGGCCCACGGGCCTTGAGTTCGACACATTAAGAGAAATCAATGATAAAAAACGATCTGAGTTGTAATTTTTGATTTATTTTCCCGGTCGTTTACAAGGAGGGGGCGGGACTTAAAACTGGTTCTGGAACCAGCTTCGAGCTCATCAGAGGTGGGCAGAGTTCTGCTAGCTTCTCATTTAGCAGATTAGCTTTTTTGCTAACTTTGTAAACTGTTAGCAGACAGATTAGCTTCAGCTACATGTGAATTAGTGAAGCTAGCGGTTTGGTTAGCTGTGAAGACGTGGATTTCACGGCTCAGTCTTGATCCTGACGCTTTGTGTTTCCAGAACATGTAAGAAGACAAAAAGACGTCTTTCTGTCTCTGAGTGGAGGGTTCGAAGACGTCTCCTACCTGCAGGGACGGGCTGCACGTGCACACTTCCTGCCTGCATCTTGAAGTCCAGATACAAGGTTGGAGTTCTTGTGTAGACCTTAGACTGCAGAGGAAGGACACACACCTGGTCAGGTACAGCTGCTCTGAGTGGAGAGCTTTAGCCCCGCCCCCAGCACACCTTGGCTCCCAGAGCTTCTCCAGAAATGACGGCGGCCGTCACGCCCCCCAGGCTGGGTTTGGGGATCTGGGAGGCCTTCAGCTCCTGGTACGCTGGTTCGATCATCTTCTCCGCTCTCCTCAGGTTGACCCACAGCTGCAGACCCAGCACCGGCTCGTCTGACACGGGCATCTCCGCGTGGACCACCCCCCGTCCCGCCGTCATCCACTGGTGGACCAGTAAACAGAACCACAGACAGAAAACCCGCTGAAGACCGTTTCCTGTTTGTCTTCAGACGCTGGAAGAACTGATGAGTTAGAAAATTAAACCTTAAATAAGAAATGTCTTTAAACAGAAACATTTAAAGGTTTGATCCGAAAAAATGACTGATTAT